TTTTTCTGCTTTTTTTTTCTTGCCTTATATATATATATATATATATATATATATATATATGTATGTATAATTATAATAATTATTATTATTTTTATTCAAGGAGATTCCAGAAAAGAGGACTAAATAAAATTTTGCTCAGGTCTTTCAGATTGAGGAAACTTTGTACCTCCCACAGAATGTGAACAATTAGATTTTGAAAGAGATTTTGATATCTGATGTAGGAGGGTCACAGGCAGCTTCTTGTTTGCAAATGTGCTGCAAAAATTAAAATGAGCATATCTATTTCTTGAATAACTGGTAAACAAATAATATGATTTTGTTTATTTGAAAACCTGGATCTGCATTAAATCCTACTTGGCTTTAGGTCTTCTGATTATCATAGGCCTAATTTTGCCATTTCAGATGCAGATTCTATGCACTTATCCTAAATCATCACCATATCATATTATCATATTATCTCCTTTAAACCATAATCGAAATTATTATCTAAATGAAAACTCTTTAGTTTTCATTTTACAATCAAGTGTCCATGTTTACAGGGGACCAATGTCAAAAGCAGCCACTGCACCGATTGAACCCATTCAGTTGCAATTAAAACCTTTTTTTTTTTTTTTCAAATGCTCAGGTGGTCAGCCTTCAGTAGGGAGGAGCAGGAATCACATATGGCAAGATGTTAAACCCTCTGGTATTCCATATTAAAGTAAATAATAACCATATAACTTTTGTTTTGGAGTGGGGTATTTATGATATTTAGACCATATTAACCTCTAAATAATACACATTTAAAATTTGTTTTGGCATAAAAGTATAAATATATTAGGGCTGTCAAACGATTAATCGTGATTGATCACATTAAAAATTTAAATTTAAATACAGAAATACAATGCCATTTTGAATATTGCATTGCCATTTTGCATATTGCATTTTAAATTGAATTTCGCTACCTATATGCTTCCATACTAGAAGGCTGTAGATTTTCTTATTAATCCCTAGTTGATGAGAAGATGATGACCTATTTCCTCTCATCAGAAGGCCCATCATGTGCCCTTCTTATCCGAATGAGAGGACACCAGTGCCCTTTGGTAGCTCTTTCCTTAAATCAAAGAAAGATTTATTTCTTTCCACAGCACAAAGGAATTGTACATGTAAACATCCAGAATATTGAAAAACAGTGCCATGGGCCAGCAAGGTGTCTTCTGTTTAAAGATGGGTGCTTTGGCTTATTCCTACACACAGTTCCAACCATGGACAATTTTCTCTGAAGAAGCTTTGTGCCAAGGGCATTCAATGTGAAGAAAGTGTTGCACCTTATTGTCTATTTCTGGAGACCAGCTGTCATTTGTGGTACAATGTGTCTGCCCTGATTTCTTTCAGGCTGTGCCCCAGCAGTTTTGCCTGTGAAGACCTACATATTCCAGGCATAGCTTGTACTGGCATCACAGGCTGCCCAGACTTTAATGTCATGCAGTGTTTGACAGGGTTACTTTGCATGAATTGTTTGAAGGGCAACATCCTCTGAACCGGATCAGGATGGTATATTAATGGCAGTCTTTTGACCCATTTTCCCCCAAAGTCACAGTTTTTTTCATGTTCTTGCCTGGCAGGTCTCCTTGACATCAAATCGGATGACCATTGACAATTTTGGAAAATTGCACAGTGGCATGGTGGCCCGAAAAATCACCCTAACTGATTCAGAACTTCATAAAGTAGTTGTGGCTTCATTGTGAGATTTGTAGATTTGTCTGTCCATACATACATATATATATATATTTATATATATATATATATCCCGTTCTTTTTCATCAGTAGTATTATTTGTGATTTGAATTTTGTGAATGGGAGTTCCTCTTTTGACATGTTATAAGCCGGGCTTCCGATGCTTTCACTTTTGATTTCACGATCTTGTCAGGTTTTACAATTAAATATAATAGTCTGTTTTGCTTACATCTATACACCTTTCACCTTTTAAGGCTAAAAAAAAAAGATGGATTCATTATTTTTAATTAAAATGCACAACGATAAGCTTTTCAAAATGAAAACAAAACAAAAAGAAAAGTAAAACTAAACTTGCTGCCGGTGACAGTGCTTGCATGTTCTTCTGCAATTAGTAAATATAACCAAAACAGGTTATTATCATTTTTATATGAATAATCAAATAAAAATAAGGAAAACTCGCCCACTCGATTTTGTAATATTCTTTAATTTTGTAGTCGGTATGAAAAGGTGCATTTCTATTAAAGGCACGTCCATGTGGAGATGGCGAGTCAGTGTCGGCATTCAGCAACTTCATCTTTGCACCTGACACTGACTCAGATTAATAAATAATTAAAATGTCTTCTTTTCCCCCAACACGTTCATAATCACTTTGCCGGTGCTTTGAGGCAATTGCTTAATGCGCGATCTTGAGCGCGGAATAGGCTCTAAATACGTCTGCCTATAGCCTATATTGAAGTATGGTTAATATATTATTATATTAATCAATTTAATATAACATGCGACTAGTTGACTAGAAAAATCTTTAGTAGAGGGCAGGCCTACTTAGCACATGGAAGCTTTCCATTTTTTTAAATACAATGCTATAGCCTAATGACATTAGGAAAAGTGCGACAGCTGCAAATCACGTCGTTATTGCACTGCACGAGTTATGCATGCGTAAGGAGTCAAATGTTTTTTTTTTATCACCCAAATTAGATTATGAAGAATGATTTGTTGATCTTGTTTTCCCTTTAATACATACCTTCCGCAATATATTTTTCAATTACTTTCAAAAACTGGTAGGGACAATATCGACCCTGGCAAAAAGTGGTGGGGACATGTCCCACGCGTCCCACCCGCAAATTACGCCTATGTATATGTAGATAGATAGATAGATAGATAGCTAGATAGATAGATAGATAGATAGATTTAGTTCTGCAGATGCGTATTTTTTTTTAAGTTTCAGACGTTCAGAACCCAGCGTCACTCCGTCAACCGCAGATAACTGTGACGTTCTACACACGTCTGCTCCGTCACTATGGCTGCAAGAGACGCGAGATGGTGAGAGTTTGCTTGAATAAAATTAAACAAGTATATCCATAGTACCTCTTATCTGACGTTCATTAGTCTAATAACAGAAACGGCGTATGTTATTTTCATATTTGGAGCTATTTGGTTCAGTATTTTCTCTGAAACGAGGAGGATTAACAGGAGAACCCATCAGCTGCCTTCATTCAGGGTTGGTATAACAGTTAGCTGCTTAGATTTATATAAGTTAACGTTAAATGTATCACGCCCAATTACACGGTAAATAATAATTTTTGAGGTTAATTGAATGTCAGTGTTACTGGAAAAGAAGCAGTATTTCATATTTCATATCTTGCTGTCGAGAGATCATCCATCTGGACATGCTGCTAAAATCCGATTGAATGCAGTGCAACGCAACTGTTACTGTAGTTTGAACAGCATCGAATTCACTGTCTCAAGAAACTCTTCACAGCTGTTGCTTTAGTTTGACCTGATTTCCATGGCCTGCCTTGTCTTTCAGAAACAACATCCCTAGTTTATAAAGTAAACAAGCGGCGCTCTTCCAAAAATGGCGAAAATGTACCACAAAGAGAAAAGCATCCAGATAAAGAGCAGCGCGTCCGCGCTCTACAACAACCTGAGCGTCCTGCGCATCGCGCCGCGCTGTCTCACCTATTTCACGGTGGTCCACGCCAACGTGGTGAACATGGTCAGCGCCTCCTGGGACGGGCTGAACTATTCCCACCGACAACTGCAATCTAAAGAGGGCAACGTGGCCACCAGCTCCTCACTTATCATGCAGGTGAGACTAAAGTACCGTTTGAGTCCTAATAAAGACTGATGAATATACTGGTTTAGTACAGTTTAGCATACAGTGTCTAAATGCTGTCACTGAATTATTGACACTGTTTTACACTATTTATTGTTTCACCTTTATCCCAAGATCATAATTAACTTTTTTTTTTTTTGCCTGATAGGCAGCCTGGTGTGTCCTGCCCTCAAGAGATCTTCTTGTTCTCACCTCTCAGAAGGGAATCCAGGTAGGTTGAGTGTTATGCCATGCTATTAAAATAGTTTATTTGCCCAGGAAATATGACTTGAACTATTTTTATTCATCAGATGTATGAATCGGATGGATCCATTATGGTCTATTGGCATGCACTGGACACACCAGAGACCCCTACTGGTCAGTGCACACTTTTGTGTCTCTGTAAATACAGTAAATGTGTTCATTCTTTTTCTTTCTTTATTTTCACATCCTTTGAAGAAAAAACTGTGGGAAATCGGTTGTGACCTCTGTGTACCTGCCTGACATTGTCTGTTGTAATTTTCCAGCGAAGGCAGTGTTTGCCCGAGGAATTGCAGCAGTGCGGGAAAAATATATTTGTGTAGGTGAGTGGCTTCATCTGTCAGCAGTAGCTATATAGGGAACTATTCTAATCCATTTACATATTTGCTTAGTATGTTTACTGAAAGTGCCCTTTTCAACTCCTCACACTTCCTACAGGGGTCTCATTTGGCTCAGTGCTTGTGTTTGATGTTCCCAGTAAAGGCAGTAACATCACCCTGTCTGAGGTTTTGGAGGAACACAAAGAGGCAATCACAGACATGGCCTCTGAGTGCTCAGGCAATCTGGTATTAACTTACAGTAACTTTCATATCAGTGTTATTATTGTAATCCATAGGGAAAACGCTATTTATAGGTTGTTGTTTTTCTGTCATGTTTGGTTAAGTTGGTTTAAGTTACTGGTGACTCAAGTGTTTTATTATTGAACTCATTTCTTTTTTTAGGAGTGTATTGCTGATTTAGTTAGTGCTGATGACTCTGGCCTCCTCTGTGTGTGGAAATCAGGAGAAGATTTTCAACTGCTCAACAAGATCCCTGGTTTTGAGTATGTTAGGAATTAACATTCACTATACAAGAGACAATGGGTTTCATTCATGAAACTTTCGCAAATTAAATTAAAATTAAATTAAATTAAAAATTAAATAAAATGTATGCATTTAGCAGAGGCTTTTATCCAAAGCGACTTACAGTGCATTCAGGCTATACATTTTTAGCAGTATGTGTGTTCCCTGGGAATCGAACCCATGACCTTTGCACTGCTAACACAATGCTCTACCACTGAGCCACAGGAACAAGCAAATATTTATTAGCAAATTTGCACATAAAGTGGACCTTCCTGAAAAGTTTTCTCTGGATCCACGAAAAATTCGTAAACCTCAGAATTGAGGTTCATTTACACACTCGTTGATTATTAGTAAAAATCCCCGCCCATAAATTACAACAACGTGAATTATGTGTACAGAATCCTGGAGGATCTTTTGGACTTTCCTTCTCAGGGTTGGCTCCAATATATTACATGAATGCAAAATAGTAATTGGCCATATTTCTAACAAAAATGATATAATTAAAGTGCTAAGCTTGAAGACTAATGCTGGTGCTCAAAATAGTGTTCTATGATCAAATAAAAAATGAAATAAAATATAAAATAAAATAAAAGTCTCATTTTTGTTTAGCAGTGAAATTTATTTTCACATACTGTACATCTAATTGGATAACTAATTAATTGTGTTATTATATATTATTATGGTACGTGTTATCAAAATGCAGTGTCATCGGTTTCCTAAAAGAACATAAAATGCACCTTTTCATTGATCTGAAAATTCACGTCAGAGTGACTTTACAAACAATTTTCACAAAAACTCATCCGCTTGTGTTTCTTGAAAGAGGCCCACTATACTTATACCAATGCATCATTAATATAATATGTATATTATTACATATCTTCTTCTCTCAGCACGAGTTGTTCTTCAGTAAAACTCTGGAAGGGCACAGTCATTGCAGGCTATGGGACGGGACAGATCCGTCTGTATGAGGGGGTCACAGGTATACTGCATGCAGAGGTCACTGCCCATGCACGATGGATCTACTCGCTGGACATCGCCCCGGTCACTGGACTGGTGAGAGAAGAACTATGTATACAGTCTGTATGTCGCACAGTTAATGTATGCAACTATACGTATGTGCATGTTAAGTAGTAATTAAGTCAAAACAGATTTAAATAAGTTATTTAACTAAATCTGTTTTGATAAACACAAATAGATTTAATTAATTGTATTCAGATGTATTTTATTAAAATAGTAAACTCTCATATACTGATATTGTTTTCCTTTGTTCAATGAAAAAGCTGATCTCTGCAGCAGAAGACTCCTGGGTTAGAGTGTGGCATCTGAGCTTGACTCCAGAGACTAATAGTGTAGAGGTTAAACCACTCACAGACACAAACAGTACACTACCGTTCAAAAGTTTGGGGTCAGTAAGATTATTTTGAAAGAATTTAATTATATTACTCCGCAAGATGCATTAAATTGATCAAAAGTGACAGAAAATACATTTCTATATTGAATGTTATCTCTAATTCAAGTAAATGCTATTTATTAGTTATTTTCAACTTTCTGTTCGAAGAATCCTGAAAAAAAAAGTTTCCACAAAAATAATAAGCAGAAAAATTATTTTCATTAATTAATTATTAGTAATAAGAAATGTTTCTTCAGCAGCAAATCAGCATATTAGAATGATTCCTGAAGGATCATGTGACACTAAAGACTGGAGTCATGGTGAAAATTTCAGCTTTGCCATAACAGGAATAAATTACTATTTATTAAAAAAAAACTATTCAAATTAAAAAATTAATTGTAATAATATTTTACAATATTACTGTTTTTACTATATTTTTGATCAAATCTCGGTGAACATAAGAGACTTTCTAAAACATTAAAAATCTTACCGACCCCAAGCTTTTGATCGGTGGAGAACATGCACTAGAACTGCATTAGTAGTTTCATTAAATGAACATTCATTGCAAAGCATTTTGTGTGTTTCAGCTGATTTCAAATGTTCTCCCACATTTTCACTGTCCTTTCTAGATTGAGCACATGTACAATGAGTGTGTGACTGATACACAGATCTGTGGAGCCAAGTTCTGTGACGGGGATGGCTACGCCTTTGCAGTGACTGGCTATGACTTGAGTGAGATCATCCGCTACACGCAAGCCTAGTCAGGAATACAGCATGCACTTCTAAGACAGTCCCATTGGGCATATGAGGATCGCCTGCAGAAGGAAGGTCATGTCTTGACAATATATTGGTGAATATATTGGTGTGCAGTCATGATAGTCAGGGTCAGGCTGGAGTGAATGTTCTTCTAACTTCTTAGGCACTACACTCTTAAAAATAAAGGTGCTTCATTCAGTCAAAGGTTCTTTAAAGAACCATCTCTTTCTTACCTTTTTATAATCTGAAGAACCTTCTTTCGCCACAAAGAACCTTTTGTGAAACTGAAAGGTTCTTCAGATGTTAAAGGTTCTTTATGGAACCATTTAGACAAAAAGGTTCTTCTATGGCATCGTGAAGCACCTTTATTTTTAAGAGTGTACATGACTACACTACATGCCTAAAAAGCCACACTTGAATCAGGTGACTGTGTTTAATACGGTATGTCTACATGATTGGCAGTTGTGCCAGGTACAAATTACTCTTTTTGTGCTCTGATATTAAGGGAAAATACCTAACATTGGTTAAACAGAACATGTTGATCTGGAAACAAAGCATTAATATGATAAAATGTTAGAAGTGGTTGTTCTGTTAGTGTTTTGCTTCTTACAAAATTAGTTTAGTAAATGTATTTACTAAAGTGTTACTGAACAATTTCATTACCTCATTGAACAATTTTGGGTGTGCAATTAATTCAGATGGCATGTAATCATATTTGTGGTTCAGAAAACAAATCATATCAAAATTGTTTGTAAAGTATTTATTCATTATGAATATTATGAATATTAAATAGTGCAGAGGCTATTTTTTCCAAGTGGAATTATAATGTTCTTTATATTTGTCTAGAAATTATTGCATTGTTTCTAGGATCGTTATTTCAGCTTGATGTTAAACCACATATTTTATATTTTGTGTTGTTGTCAGTTTTTGATATTTTCTGTTTCTTTCTAAACAATTGTCAGGGACAATTCAGCAACTAAAAAAAGCAAAAAATAAAATAACTTGTTTACTGTGACTTTTATTGCAATTAGAAATGTGTACCGGTAGATGGCAATAGATCTTACATCTTTAATGGTTTTCTGAAACATTTTGAACATTGGTCACTTTTGAGATCAGAATTAACATATTTAATTCAAGCATTCAAGCGCATTGATTCATATAAAACATCTATGAAACATATCATAGAACATATTAGAACATGTCCAGCACTCATTTCTATTCAAAATGTAAAAAATATCAAACATAAATTGGGTATGTCTAAATTGCCTAAAATGACCGGGCTTTGTTTTCCTACCGACATGCTGTCTAGAGTCCTCATACATTATATGTACACGTATTTGCATTGTTTTGACCGTTCTTTGTAGATCGATCCCACCTCGCACGCCACGATTGGTCGATTATGTACAATGCCTGCACGCAAGCTACTATTCATTACATTCAGCATGTATGAAAACAAAATCAAAACCCAGACATTTTAGGTAATGTAGAATTTCCTGGAAGGACACATTTAGTAAAAAGAGGACGTATGGTCACCCTATGTTTGCAGTGGGTTTTAACGGTCCTCAGGGTTATCGCTGTGTAACCTTAAGGCGTGAAGTGAATAGAAAATAATTTAGCTCAGCTTCATGCCAATTTTCTTTCATGAGCAAATTTGTAAATAAGCAGCATTTTCGACCATAGTAATATATTCATCACCATTAACTTTTGTCCATTTGTGCCTCTCTGTTAAGCTATAAAAAATACAGGAAGACTTTGATTGTCATGTGTGTCCTTCATGCACCTGCCATGATGCCCTCATGAGTCCTTGTCCTTGATTTACGCCCTGTTATCACACTGTAATGTTTTTTTGTCATTACATCTTTCATCTATGCAGGTTCCTGTTTTTATAGGTCAACGCAGAACACCAGAGGAATTCAGATTATCACGTCAAGCTGTTCTATCAGTAACCCACTAAAATATCTGCAATGCTCACTTGACTGTATTTCCCCCATAATATTTATGTCCATAATTCTGTTGTTCCCTCATAGTATTATCCACACACGACCTCCCATTTCAGCTTGTTGTTAATAAAATGTCTCTTATGTAAGTCTTTTAACTTTGTCCTATATAGATGACACTGAGTGTGCCCTATATCTGTTATGAAGAGAGGGTGAATATCAATGACACAGAGGGACAGATCTAATGGGAGAATCGACTGATGACCGTCAGATTTGATGGTGGACAGAGAGGGAGTCCAGAGAGCGTCAATGAGACCTCCATTGGCTGTGGGTTTAATGGAATTATGTAACACTGCCGTGCAGCACAGAAGCACAACAAGCGATATGTGTTTAAGGTCATTGTGTTTAGTGGGATCTGTGGTAATAAAAACTATGGCTGGTCTACAGGCCATGTCAAATTCAATAGTTCTCTCCAGACACATCAGATCTGTGGCCTCTGGGGAGTCACAGTGTTTGCAGATGGGGACCGCCAGTCGGCATGGCACGATGCAATTCCCACAAGATGCTGATTTCACTTAAGCAGAAGTTAAAAATATTTTTTTCTGTGCTTTCTATGCATGTCATGTGATGTTTCTTCTATTATGGCCACTTTTATTTCCAAGGAAATTATTTTTATTATAAAATTTCAGCTTCTCTCTTTTTATTGTAAGAAGGTTACATTATAACAGTCTTGGAAACTTTTTCTGGCATTTTCAAAATCAAATTCATTTTTTTTTTTTACTATTATTATTGTACCCTTGACTCAGACCTAGAAAAATCAGTAAGAGAATGTTGCTGTGCATAATTTCCAGTCAAGAGGTAATGATGTCAAATTATGCAGAAATTATGTTATATTTTGTATGTAGGATACATAAAATAGTATCTATGACATTATAGCAGGCAAAAGAGTGCTATTTTATAAAAATCTTTAAATTACATTTTAATAACAAAATGCCATTTAACGCAATACATCAATGTGCTGGAAATTATGTTTTAGAAAAGACAAAAATAAAAAAAAATTATCTTTGGATACATGTATATACACTGTTTGAAATTAAAATGTATTTTAAGAATGTGAAAGTCAGCATGAAATGAAATTTCCCCCTATTTTCTATATGCATTGATTTTATTGTGAATGATTCACTCATCAGTGCATCAATACTTCGCACATACTTTTTATTAATTCAGTTTTGTTTGTAGTCATTTTAAGTAAATCAAGGTTTCCCCTTCAGGAGGTCGAGTCGCTTTGGGAACGCCCTTGCGTGACCGCGTTCTGAAGCACGTGTCAAATCAGTCCAATGGAGCAGCGAGACGTCACGAGCAGGGTGACGTAAGCACCAGAAAGTATAAAAGCGCATCCAGCAGAGCGCAAACCAGCTTCTGCTCTTC